ATGTTTCTTCCCCAAATTCACCACAATCATTTATTTTCCCCAAAATCATCACATGCCCTAACCCTAATTGACCCCAATTCACCCTGAAATGTCGTCATCTTCTAGCTCAGATTCAAGGAGATTGAAATCAGTATGTTTCCATAGAGACGAAGCAGTTATATTCACGTCAAATACCGACCTCAATCCTTGTCGTCGATTCCGACGTTGCCGCAACATACAGGTGACTTCGATTTTTTGCAATTTTGTTTTTTATTCAGTTTCGTGCCGATATGACTACAATCGTGCCGCTGTGAGTGCAATTTGGCTTTGTTTTTGTAATTTCATGCGTGGTCGTTCTGATATGAAATGCTGAGTTTAATTTCAAATGACGAGTTCAATTTGATGAAATGAACACATAAAAAACGAGTGGAATTTGAAATTTCAGTTTATCATATGAGATGAAAATTGAAAATTTTTGCCTTAGTTTTATGGTTTTTCAGTTATTGTGTTTTGTTCTAATTCTAATCCTTGCTTATTTGTATAAGAATGCATGTACATACTTTTCTTGGGTTGATCCGGAGCTTGGACCATTTCAGAAATCATGTTTTCTGAAACTGAAGGCTGAGAAGGCATTATTGGAGGTGCAATTAAAATGCAGAGATGTTACTGAAGTAGCATTGGTTGAGAGGCTGAAAATGAAGAAAGATGAACTATTGTATCTTAAATCCAAAGTAAATGAGTTGGAGGAGCAAGTACAAGTCTTGTCCAAGAGAAACAGATTCAGATATCCTATTGTGTGTGTGTCAGTTGTGTTATTTGTTGTTTTGCTTTTGTTCTTTGGTAAAGAGGAAAATGGTTGACAACCTTCTGTACAAGACTTGTCCAATAGAACCAATTATGATGAACTTGGTGTAGGACAACCTTTTGTTAAAGAAATTGCAATGTATGTTGTTATCTGAATTTAAGTGTATGCTGCCTTTTTATAACTTCATTTCGGTTGTTAATGAAATTTTATATTGAATCAGTTTATGTTTTTGTGTAAGTTCATTTTAGTGTATGTTGGTGTCATATGCACAAAAATCCTATAAGCCAAACAAATGTGGTACATTCAATCATCAGCACATAACAATATGCACAAGCATCTTAAATACCAAACAACCTCAACAAACACCAACTGAAGCCATGTTAAAAACAAGTCTTGTTTCCATCCTTATAAAATCAAAAGTCATATCCAATCCAAATTCCACAACCAAAACATCAAATCCAAATCCAAATCCAAATTTAGATAATACATTGCTAACAACTGCAACTCCAATCCCACATCAAACCAGAAAACATGAAAAAACACAGTAGTTCACAACATACATCCCCCAAAACCCAAACAACAGTATACATCCATGACAACTAACAAGGGTTAAAATTACACACACTCTCTTGTGTCCCCTGATCTCTTGGGCAATTCTTGGATGTTTGTTTCTTTTGTCCAGGTGATGATCCTGCTCTTCTGTTAGGTACAAAGTGAGCTCTATTTTGCCCTGGCATCTGATTACGAATTTGTGGGACAAAACAAATTAAGTAAATATCTGAAATATGCACTGAAATTGGTACAGGAAAAGTATATGGTAACAATGAAGCATAACCTCATATAAATGTCTTCTGGCTGCTCAGAGACCATCACACCAAATCCTTTATTGGCCTAAACAAGCAAAGACACAAATAAGTTAATAAACTGATATTATGCTTTATGTAAGAAAATAATAGCTTTTACCATTTCTTTGTCTTTTGCCCTCATAGCTTACACAGGTTGAGAAGATTGTCCAACACTCCTGATTCTAGAACTCCTTCTTGTTTGTTGCATAGCAGCTGTGGCTGATCTAGTAGTTGGGGTTGTTCTTGTGGCTGAAGCTGCTCTTGTGACCTTGGTTGCTCTTGTGCTTGTGGTTGCTTTTGTGGATGGGGCTTGTGTTGGTGGTGCTGTTGGGGCTTATGTTGGTGGTGTTGTTGGGGCTTGTGTTTGTGGTGCTTTTGTTGGTGCTCTTAGGGCTTCTATTGGGGCTGATGTTGGGACTGTTGGTGGGTTGGTTGATGTTGAGTTTGTTGGTGTTGGGATTGTTGGTGTTGGGACTGCTGGTGTTGGTGTGACAGTCCAATCTTTTGCAGAAGACTCCACATGTTGCTCTCTTGTACTTGGTCTCCCTCTCTTTTTCTACAATTTATCAACAAGGATATTGGTGTAGATTATTATTATTATTATTATTATTATTATTATTATTATTATTATTATTATTATTATTATTATTATTATTATTATTATTATTATTATTATTATTATAGTT